TTACTTTAGAAATTGTTAATAATGTTTCCCATTCTGTCCTGTTCTGTTAAATTTCTTTTATTTTCAGATAATTAAATTTATCGTGTGTAAAATATCTTGCTCTATTTCTCATTATTCGAATATAATGAACAAAAAATAAAAAAAGAACTTAAAAACCTGTCTTATATTCCTGACATATATTTTAATTGTGTAATATAATACATTTATAAAAACTTCTTTCGTATGTAAAAAAAAAAAAAGAATTAGAAAAAAAAGTAGAAATTTTATTTAATCTTTAAAAATCTTTTTAATTTTTAAAGCATAAAGTAATCCAATAATTCGTAAGATTAAAAATTTTGTACTTTTCTTTGTGACAACCTTGTTAGAAAAAATAAATTAAGACTGATTCTAAATCTTTACAAAACATACAAAGTTCTCTGATTAAAATTTAAAAGACGCATAGAAAGAATAAAATAAAAAATTACAATATATATATATACAAACTAAACTAATCACTTTTTTAAAAATTTTAAAATAACAAGATCAATTGTCCATAAATCGAATAATTGCTTATAATTGATCAGATCTTCTCCGCTATTACTCCATAATCGAAATTCAATCGAATCGCAATAACATTAATAAACAAAGTGCGGATAAGAAGGAATGAAATTAGCGAACAGAAAAGGGACAGAAATAAATGAGAAAAAGGATGATGATAAATGCGAAATCCGATAAAATCGAGAATATGCGAAATTCGAAACGAATTGGATCACTGTATTCATCGATGCGGCGTCGACGAAAATCCGGCCGAGTTGGCCTCTTTGAAAATTCGCGCATATGAAACCCGTTACACAGGCGAATATCGATTCCAACAGGCTCTCTTGCAACTGACACGGAATGCGTAAGAAACCCGTTTACATTACCGGCAATAAATGTCCCGCTGTTCGGAGAAATATTCTTCGACGCGGCGTGCATCGTTGCACCACGATCGAGAATACAGATTATTGATGTTGACTATGGTGCGCGAGAAATTGGATCCAGATAAGGTATTTCATCATTGGTGAACAAATATTTGTCGATTGACTCGAAATATGGTGGAGAAGATATTTTCGCATCAAGGTATTTTCGATATATTTGACGTAGAATTTAATATATTCAATGGTGGGCACGTGTGGATGGAGAGATTTCCTATTCTCTGACGTCCAAAATGAATTTTTTTTTTTTTTTTTTT